GTTTTTACAGAAATTTTTTTGAAGGAAAGGAAACTATTGCGCTGAACAGCAAGACAATAATGTGTTATATAAGGTTGTCAAATATCTCCCTTCCGCTTTTTTGTCTTTTGAATTTCGCGGTTATGTACAAAGCGCTACAGAGCTCGTATCTGGTCTTGACATAACCTACAAAACAACGCTATGCAAGGTTAGTTTGGATATTGCGTTCAATAGTTATAGACGTGTAAACATGGAGTTCACTAACGCCGAAATTCGCGCTATTTTAAAGTTTTCCTTCGTTAAAGGCAAATCAGCTAGAGAAACGTTCTATGATATTAATGGTGTTTTGGAGGATTGTACTCTATCACTTCGAACCGCGGAGGAGTAGTTTCGACGATTCAGAGCCGGTGAAAACGACACCATGGATAAGCCAGCCGGCGGAAGACCTGTGACGACAAATACCGATCAAATCATGGAATACATCGAGTTAGACCGGCATATGGCATCTTGTGACATCGCCCAGGAGATGGGAGTTAGTCACCAAACCATTTTGAACCATCTGCAGAAGGCTGGATACAAAAAAAAAGTTTGATGTTTGGATGCCGCATAATTTGACGCGAAAAAACCTTCTGGACCGAGTCAACGCCTGCGATATGCTGCTGAAACGGAACGAACTCGACCCATTCTTGAAGCGGATGGTGACTGGCGACAAAAAATGGATCACATACGACAATATCAAGCGAAAACGGTCGTGGTCGAAGACCGGTGAATCGTCCCAAACAGTGGCCAAGCCGGGATTGACGGCCAGGAAGGTTTTGCTGTGTGTTTGGTGGGACTGGAAGGGAATCATCCACTATGAGCTGCTCCCATATGGCTAGACGCTTAATTCTACCATCTACTGTGAACAACTGGACCGCTTTATATTTAAGCTTCAGAAAAAACTTTTTTTGTAACAAAAAATATTGCGATTTTCCAATGTTTTGATGAGTTTTCTGAAGCTTCTGCATACTGAACTCTTGAAACGGTGCCGGTGATGGAGGTCGTGCAATGCATCTGAAACCCACGACCATTTTTTTTTTAATTTTATCAGTGTATATTCTTAGGAACTAGAAATACCAAAGAATTTACAAATTTCAAATTATTTCGTAATTAGAAAAAAAATCACTTCAAATTGCAAAAAATGCTTTTTTCCAATATTTTTAGTTCAAAAAGAAAATAATTCCATGCTTAAGCTAGTTTGGTTTCAATTTTTTTTCGATCGGTCAAACATACATATATTGTTTTTGATCTCACCGGCATTAGTAAAAATGAATAATCGAAAAGCGCGCTTCAAAGTCTGCTAGATGCTTGGCCACTAAAACTGCACTAGTTTCTTCTAAAATATGTCGAATTGGCCACTGAAAGATATAATTTTAGAAATTACTTAAGAAAAAATGCATTTAAGGCCTTCACAGCAGACTACCGCCTTAACAAGAAAGCTTTTGTACTGATATTTCAACGTTTTTCGTGAATTTATTCCGTCCACAAAGCCAATATCGCCATCTCACCCATCTTAATCGAGTTCAGAATGTTTCCCTTCTTCTTGGTTTTGGTTATGAATAAATTGGTTCCAATTGTAATTTCCATTTTTTATTTCATAATTCTACTCGTGGTTTTTTTCTCTTTAACTTCGAAGAGTTTTCATTTTTCTAACATTCCTGTTTACATACAGCCTTGGCCAAAAGTATTAGGCTATTCATTAAAATACAAGTATTCTCAAATATGGCTATCAAAGTTACCACTACTTTTTGTAAATGTCTTATATGGGTGTTTAACTGTAGATTAAACGAATAAATTTTTAATATTGAAGGTCATAGCACTCTGGGTAAGCTAAACCTAAAAATTATCATTTTTAAGAAATTCATAAAATATTTTCGCATTTTAAATTTGAATGTGAAAGTGTAAATAAATTTAGAGAAAAGTTACCAACTTTATAAAAACAGTTCATATTTACCGAAATGCCTAAAAAAAGTGAAATTAGTTGCGATGATAGAGTTAGAATTCAAGTTCTAAGTGAAGAAGGTAAGTCTCACAATAATAAATCAAATAGTGGAAGAAAGCATCTAAGCAGTAAACGAGAAAGCCAAATACTTATACGCGAGTCTCTCAAGCATCGCAAAAAATCTTCTTCTGCCCTTGCAGCTGCCCTTTCGGATGGATTTAGTAAGCCAGTTCGTGCAGAACAACTAGACTAAGACTTCGGGAAGCAACTTTAAAAGGATGTATAGCCCGAAAGAAGCCGTGGCTCTCAGAAAAGAATAAGAGAAATCGTTTAGAATGGGCTCGCCGATACCAACATTTTACGGAAGAAGATTGGTCGAAGGTAAACTTAGTTGCGATCGTCTTAAAGTATTAACAGTCATAGCTTCTTACCCTAGAGCAATTTTGATACAGTATTTTCTCTTTTCTACAGATATTTGGAACACCTGCTGTGACGTTCGTCGGCGGATTGGGGATGAATAATATCCAGATTGCGTCGTACCCACTGTTAAGCGTGGAGTAGGCAGCATTATGATCTGGGCTGCAAGGCTGCTGATGGTGTCGGTGAAATGTTCATTTGCTAGGGTCGCATGGACAGTCAAAAGCACATAAATGTATTAGAAGCTGCCTTCTGCCTTTGTTAACGCACATTTTCGGCGATACTAATTTAGGCGGGGTTCAAATTCAGAAATACAATGCTCCTTGTCACTAATCAGCGACTATGTTGCGTTGGTTTAGAGCTAACAATATTGTTTTGTTAGATTGACCTGCACAGTCTCCAGATCTTAATCCCCTTGAGCGCATGTGGGCTATTTTAAAACGCAAGATTAAGGAACACAGTACAACATCAAAAGATTGCCTTAATTAACGAGTGGTGCGCTAGAAGTGCGGACGAATGTGCAAAGCTTTTACGCAGCGTGACTAAGAGTATTCCTGCCGTTAATAAATCGAAGGGTGGACCTACTAAATATTCATGTTATTATCACTAATTAATTGTATTTTCACTGTTTTACTAATAAAACTTCATTACTTCACTTGTTGAAAAAAAAATGCAGTAATTTGTGGGGTGCCTAATACTTTTGACCAAGGCTGTACGAGTATATTATTCTCTACTCAACGGTGTGTCCTAAAAATAACAGAACTTTATATTTAAATCATACAACATACAGCGCAAGTGACAGCCATTTCAATAAATCCAAAAGTGTGCTAATGGTTCAAAAATAAAATTGAACAAAATGGAACAAAAACAATAGCAAATATAAAATTTTGTATCAAACTTCAAAAAAAATTAATGAAAAAAGTTTATTGTGATGATTTTATGAGTCATACGCAAGTTTATACGTGGTTTACACGATTTAAGAATGGTCGTGGGGATTTAAATGACGACCCTAGAGCAGGACGTCCAGAAACTAGTAATCGTGCTGAACTGGTGGGAAAAGTCCGTGAAATCATTGGTATCGATGCAAATTTTACTACGAGAATGTGGGCTGAGGAATTGAATACGAGTAAAAACACTGTTTGGAGAATTTTAACTGAAGATTTGGGGAAAAGAAAGGTCTGTGCGCGATTTGTTCCACATGAATTAAATGACGACCAAAAAATCGCTCGTATTTTTAATGAAAAAAGGGATTTCTCTCATCAACCATCCTCCGTATTCGCCTGATCTATCAGCATGTGACTATTTTTTATTTCCAAAACTGAAAACCAAGATGAAGGGAGCATTGTATGATGATATCCCAGCCATTCAAGCAGCCAGCCGTAACCGAGGTACTGAAGAACATCTCTATAAATGACATAAAAAAATCGATGCATGCGCTGGTTGATCGTTCCAAACGTTGAGTTGAGTCAAATGGTACCTATTTTGAATAAATAATAACTTTCAAAGATAATATAATGTGTATTTTATTTTATATCCAAAAAGTTCGGTTATTTTTGGGACACACCGTGTATTTAAGGCCAGGTTTCTCTAAAAAAATTTAAAATTTTTTTTATAAATTGTTAGCAAATATTCTTAGAAATAAGTATAGAAGAGGGAAGAGTGGAGCGCGCCAAGCGGTGATATTCTTCTTTAGAATCTATTGAACTTCAACATCATGACCTAAACGGTATTTTACTCCTAAAATGTCTTTCCCTGATCGGTACTACAACCAAAAATATTTATTGTTATTTCAAAAATTTTTAAACAAATAAAATTGAAAAGAAAAAAATTAAAAATGTTTCATTGTAATTCCAGCCATAGCCAATGTGATACAGAAGAAGAAAATGTGTTTCAGAAGCAATTTTAAGATCCGTCATTAAAAAAAAAAATTAATATTTTTATACATCTTTTTTACTATAAATATTTTTTTTTTATAAATAAAATTGTTTGAAAAAACATGATTTTGGAGGAACCTGGACTTAACTTTCTTATCAAGTTTACATGATTTTATTACTGGTAAATTGTTATTGTTTTTATAAGACTAATTTTATTGCAATTACTTGCTAAAGAGCTCTCAATTAGCTAATTAAGTGACTGTGTGAACACCATTTTGGTGTTTCAAATAAATATAAAAAGAGAAAAACTTTCGTTTATTCCACTATAATTGCGGTTATCAGCAAATTACTAAATAACAGTGTATAAACTAACCGTTAAAAGTGCTAATGACTTAAGTAGTACTGATGACCACCCACTATAACCGCTACAATAACGCATACCTAACTATTAGGAAGTATTCCAAGCAATATTTTTGACACTTTTAAATGAAGCACTTATTACCGTTAGTGACACTACACATAAATCATTTGCCTGATAAGCGTTAAGTAAACAGATTAGTCAATTACCGGTAATGTTTTAAGTAAATTCGTATTAAGGTAATATAACTATAACGGTAATATTATTAACTACACGCTACTTAATAACGGTAAGTGCAATGGAAAACCGCACAGTTAAGATTAACTGCTTGTAAATAACGGTTAGAAAATATTGCACTCAAAAAAAAATTAAAAAACTAAAAAACAGTAAAATGAAAATAAAAGTGTTTCTCATCATTTCACTGCAAATAGTAATTTTTCAAACAGTGTGTGCATTAAAAACATGCGATGTGATAGATAAACTCAATATAGACTTGCGCTTGGAATTGAATATTTTTCTAAACATTACGGAAGACTCTGCTGATGAGCTTTGTAAGCATAGCGGTTTAACGCCTAAAATTATACTCGATTATGAGCATGCAGATCTACTAGAGCTCAACGGTTGGGCAACGGAGAATGTTTTGACAGTTGCTTTTGTTGGTGTGAAGAATAAGACAAAGCCTATCAGCACACTCGTCAAACTGCTCTGGCAATTGCACTATACAAATGTGCTTTTCGTTTATAAAAGCTCAATGAGCGGTGTGCAGCTTTATGAGCTTTTTGCGCTTTGCTGGCAGCATGGTTTCGTAAATGTGCTCATTTTGATTCAACAAACCCTGTACACCTATCATCCCTTTCCAGCCATAAAAGTGCTGGAGTTACGTACGCTCAGCGCTTACTACGACAAGTCACATTTGGAGGACTTTCAAGGTCACCCACTACGCTCCAGCATCAGCAATAATGCGCCGCGTGTCTATCACTACACAGATGACGATGGTAATTTAGCCAATGGTGGTTATCTTTACGCATTGTTGCTAACGTTCATACGACAACACAACGGCACATTTCAAGAGGTGAAAATGCCAACATATGATCTGAATTTAACTCAAACAATCGCAGCATTCAACAATCGAGACATCGATATACTTGCCGAGCTGCTATTCATGTATCCTGAATACGCGCACAGCGCTGTCGTTTGCATTTATCGCACACTGCTGATGGCGCCCTACGCTAAGCCGCTCCAAAGCTATCTGTACATACTGCAACCGTTGACGCGCTTCATCTGGCTACTCATAATTATAGCATTTTGCTATTCGCTCATCGCCCAAATGCTCTTATCACGTCTGCGTACGCGTCGTTTCAACTTCGGCGCGGCTTTGCTGCGCATCGTCAGCGGCATACTTTATCTGCCAACATTTTACTATCGCAACTGCGCGAGAACACAAATAATCTGCGCCATCATGTTGCTGGCGAGTGGCTTTCTCCTAACCAACTTTTATCAGACCAGTTTGGCCAGCATGTTTATCACCCGCCTGTATGAGCCGCAGATCAATACCATTGCTGATATCGCGCATACGAATTTCCGCTTGCCCATCACCAAAACGGATGCCGCCTATTTGAATAGCCTGGCGGGTGTGCCAGAGATCATAAACGACCGTCTGATTGAAATGAATCCATTGGAGACCTATACATTGTTACGTGATCTCAACACCTCGTATGTTCTCTCATCCATGGAGGACAAAATCATGTTCTTTATGTATCAACAGAAGTTTCTTCGCATACCAAGGGTTAAGGTGATCGACGAGGAGTTAGCGGAGGTGCCACTGTTCATAGCTTTAGCACATGGCTCGCCCTTTATACAGCAGTTGAATAGGTTCTTGGGACAGATTTTCGATACGGGAATATTTCAGAAAATGGTTTCCGACAGCGCCGAGGAAGGTATTTTGACTAATGAAATACGTTTCTTCAGAACAGTGTCTGCTAAGTTTTATCCGCTCTCAGTGCAGAATTTTTCAATGATTTTTGTCGCTTGGGCTTTTGGCTTGATGTGCGCAACGGTATGCTTTCTGATTGAATGGAAGTTTTTGAAGAAATGAAAAGAGCATGATTGGTTATTGGTTATTGGTTATTATTTATTCATATTTGTATAATTATATAATGTAATCCTTGCAAATAAATATGGAATTATTTAAAACTTAATTCAAGAAATCTCATACTTTTCTGTGGGCGTCTTGAATGATTGCGTTTTATACACGGTTGGTTGCCAGTCCATTATTCACTGTGTCTGACACCAAGTTCCACTCACCTTCGTGATTTCCATCAGAGCAAAGGTTTTTTTCTTTCCCTTACAATCTGCGAATATCCCACCGACACAGCCCAGGTAGCGTAACCGCTGATTCCCAATCACTTCCGTTGATGTGCAGTCAAATCTTAAGGAAATCATCTGGTAGGCACGTAGTTCACCTAATTCATTGTCTTACAACTCAACCTCTATGTACTCGGAACGTTCGTTACAAGTTCGCCTCTTTAGGCCCTTCAGAGTGTTTGAAAATCAGCCAATTTTCCAAGTTTCTCTTATCCATTTATGGCCTGTTATGTAAGAAAATGTAAGTTTCTCATATTCTTTTTTATGGCTTGTTTTTTGTAGAAATGTGTCTGGCTTCTCTCTTCCAGTCTCCTAATCAAGAACGCAGCACATCTCTTCGTAAAACGGCTCGATATCGGTTCAAGTATTCCTTTAATCTAGAACGAGTTCTCGCTCTCAGAGAGCATTGGTCTCTAATGATTGCAGCTTTTCGACATCTTCTCTGCTTAGAGGATTGTGCTTATGGCGGCTGTGACAAAGTGTTAATCCCAGTAGGTTATAGAAGCTCAGAGAAAGCGCTCATCTAAAACATTGAAGTCACGCCTTCCAGTGTTGACATATTTATGGAGTTTGTCAGCATTCGATTGTTCAGCCTATAGAAGAAATCTTTCATCGGGGCCTCATTCTCGTCAGACCAAACAATGGAAGTGAAGCACTTGCGTGAGCTTCGCCCGATGAGATGGTATCCATACCTGTAAACCTTTCAGCATTTTAAATCCCAGGGACTCCTCCGTGATTTGATACAAATTTGTTTTTTTTTTTAAGTAAGTCAGTTATTGTTGTTGTTGAAACCGAAAAATATTCCCCAAAATCTATTTTTATGTTGCGAGAGTGACAGCCCTTGGCCGAATAAAAAAATCCGGGACGTTCCGGTATAGAGATCCGACTGTATCTGGAACTATTGGATCTTAGTCACCTCTTACGACAGGCTTGCCTTATCGCGTGTAAATTCTTGAACCCCTAACCAGCAGGGTTTTATGTAAGACAGTCATGATAGGCTCAGCTTGATTAAACACAAGACAATTATAACTGCTTGGCTATCGGAGTAGTTATTAGTCTGCCTCGCCAGAAACTACTCAATACCGTATTTACTGTTTCTTTAATAGCAACATTTACCGCCTAATGGTCTGGAATCCTAAGCGCTGTGTGCAGTTACGACTGACTTTCCCGTCAATTTTCAACAGAGACGCGAAGAAGGTTAGAGCCTCTTTAGTCGTTTGGCCTTTTGCAGTTCTCGCATGAAGGAATAATAGTGAAAAAGAAACCGCATGATGACGACTCGCTGGTAAAGTTATCTCTGCAATTGGACTTAAAGTCGCGCGAAATACACCGACTGATAGACATAGCCGCCAAATCCACATATACTAAACAATATTTGGCGTTGAGTTCCACAGTCTGAGTGATTCCTAAAGCACCACAGATGCTAAGAAGAGTCGCGGGCGAGACCATGCATACGAAGACTTCGTGGAGTAAAAATAGCTTTCAAATAGGATTCTTTGTACAACTTTAGGAAACAGCCACCATCTCTTGCCGATAGTGACTCTGCGTCAGAATAAATCAGTCAATCTTTTCTTCTTTCTCTCCTCGGTGATTGCCTGTCAAGGATTGCTCCCAAGTACTTCCCTTGACAGATTGAGAGTTGCGAAAATCTTTCCTCGACTTCTTTCATTATCACCTCTCCACATCGTTGAGTACTCCTCCACATTGCAACATAACCTCACATAAGCAATGTGTATTTTGTTACCTCAACTTTTATTTGATTAATGCAGTCCATGCAACCAGTTCACACATTAAAATTAATTTATGTACTTCTTTTGCATTAAATTATAACTGTATAACTGTGTAGTGTTATTTATAGCAGCAACAACTAACGTCTTCATTATAGCGCCCAAGACAGGCAGTTTGGTGGCGCTGTGGTAATAAAGACTCCCAATTATGTGAAGTTTTGTAGCCAATTTTCAACATTTTCGGCGACACCAACAGCCATTTGCGGTTACCGCGCCAACCGAACCTAACCAAAACCAAAACCAAAACCAAAACCCAGTCGAACCGAAGTGAACTGAAATGGACACATTGAGCTCATAACTTCACATCGCTTCATTGCAACGGTCTTCCAAGATGAGAGTGCCTAGTGCCGTGCCAAACTGGGATTTATTGCCGCCACTGCAAAGTACGAAAATATTTGAAAGCAACAACAAAAATGGTGTAAACCCCAGCTCGTCTATTAAACAAACTACCTTCCAAAGCAACCATACGCAGAGTTGCTGAAAATTGAATTCCTCTTTTGCTGGCGCCCGAAGATTTCTATCAGCGTCAAAACGAGGCGAAAAAAATTGAAATAATAAAAGTGCACAAATTTGTAGCAATAATATAAAATTAACACCTGCAAGTCGATTTGGCTTGGTTCGCATCATTTAAGGTAAACAAGTCGACTTCTCTCTCCTCTCCCTCTCTCTCTCTAATATTGCCCCATGCGCATAGTGTGCCACCATTGGCGGCAGTATTATGTGTTTGTTGCTGCAGCAATGGACCATCTGTGTTGGTGGCTCGGCGCGCACCTTTCGGATTTTCGGATGCTTGCTTGTTGTATTCACCCCGCGGCAGGCAGGCAGGTAGGCAGGCAGCCATGCATGGTGCGCCATTCGGTGGGTTGTGCTGTTGTTTGCTTTATTACTCGATCGTTTCGTTTGGAAGTGCGGCAATCGATTTTCTCACGCTCCGCAATCGTTGTGGTACACTTGGCACAGCACAGACATTGCGGCGAGTGCACGCGATTTGCTTACAACACCAGCACACATGCTTGCGAAATGTTGCGCTCTTCGATGCCCCACATGACCATCAGCAATGGCCGCATCGAGCAAACACGCAGCAGAATTTTACTGTTCGGGCCTTGTGTTCTATGAGCCACAGAGGCAGCTGGGTAAGTCTAAACAACTTAAAAGCCCTAACTCAAAATTATAATTAAATTAAGGCAGATGATGATGGAGAAACGATATTCACTGGGTTAGTCCATTTTTTTTTTTCATTTTTTCAGGGTTCTAAGAAGATCGTAAAGAATATACTTACTTAATTACAACTTTTCGGGTCACATATTTCCTTCTGGCTTATCTTCTTTGTTCTAGTTGATTCGAAAGTACTCCGCGATCTTTTAACATGGCTTAAAGTCTTTACCAAAGTCTCGTAGAAGAATGGCATATATAATTTTGTGAAGACCACTCTCAGAGTTCGCCTTGAGCGCAGCCGCAACAAAGCTCCTTGCGGATGTTATTTATTACTCTTTCGAATCAAGCTCCAACATTAAAGTCATCCCAAACCTGCTTCCCCAACTTGCTTCGTGTGGAGACATACAAACCAGATTTGCGCTTAAAGCGGCCTTCAGCTGTTGTCGGACGTTCCGTACTCCCGAAAATGCTCTGCATAATAATTAGTGAAGCGCGTTCGCGTAAACCCGTATGTACATAGTTAGTGCAAAGTCAAATGCAAATGCCTGAGCCGGAATCTTGATTCAAGCTCCAAGCCTATATGTATGTATGTACATAATTGTGTGTACAACATGCATAAACAAGCTGGTAAACGGGTTGGAAGCGCCAATTAATTGGTAGAACTGCTGCTTTGCTACCAGTTGTAAGGTGTCCTCTCAGCTGCGGGTGCGTACGGCGTAGTGTCTATCCGAATGTTCGTTGAACCGAGAAACTAATAACTTGGTGCCTCAGCGTGTAATACTTGTGATAAGCTTCATATAAATAATGTGTCGCCCGGTTTCCTGAAATTTGGTCTAGAGAATAATTGATTTCAAGTAAAGTACGCGCAGGCTTTTGTGGTGTTAGGAGTGTTAAATGCGTTGGTTTATGGGAGTATCTAATGAAGATGGTGTCATGACTCATGAAGCACGTCGAGGCTGGGTCTCGATAAGAACTTATTTAGTCTGCTACGATATCCACACATTAATTGCGCCAAGTTTACTCGTATCTCTGGAAGCAGCTCGTCGTCTGCAAAAGATGGTTGTTGAATCCCATGAAGAGACTTGAGAAGAGTGTTGTTTGAGGTCTGCTGCATTGAGTCCCAACTGTTATGCCCGAAGGTGGTACTGCTTCCTTCAGGTATCTGCAGAGATCGTGGTCATATCATGATGCTGTCTTTATTGTCCCTTTGCCAGCATTCATATAGGACTGTATCACCTTCCTTGACGTTTCACCTAAGTTGCACCAGTATAACCCAGTATAACGCGAGACACTAGAGCTTTTCGTCTGCAATAGGTGGTAGGTGGTTGTTTGTCTCCGAGAACGCCATTCATTCTCGGTAAATAGTGTTTAATGCCTGTCGGTAAGCCCTCCTGTCCAGCGATTGTTTTAGGTGGTGCTGAGTCGAGTACTTCCTTTCTGTTGTGCATTCTGGGCCGTTTTTCAGCTTTTAGTAAGTGTCTGTAGCATACCAGCAGGTGTTCCTTAACTCGTAGGGCGCTGTTTTGGCAGGCTTGTAATTCCTTCAACTGCTACTCGTTACGATGAAAAAAGACCCGACTGTTGCGGAAACTATTGGATTTTTTTCGCTTCTTACGACAGGCATGCCTTACCGGGGGTAAATTCTTGAACCCACCCCGGCGATAATTAGGAGGTGCTGTGCACTTTTGGGAAGTCATGCTGTTGGACTCAAGTAATGTATGGAAGTCGGTAGCAGCACGGCTTCAAGGGTTTTGTATGTTAGTATCAAGACCGAAGTTGTGTCAAGGTTACACGGGTCTCTCGAGGCAGCTCGAGCTCGTTGTCTGCAATGGGTGGTGGTTTTACTCCGAGCGCGCCATTCAATGGAAGGTGTTGACTGACTCCTGGTGAATGCCGTTCAGTGCCTGTCTGTACGCCGTCCTGTCCAGCGATTGTTGAACATGTTGCTGGATGGTGTTTTTTAAGTCGAGTACTTTCTTTCTGATGTGCCTAGGTGGAGGTTCAGCTTCTATTAGGTGCTCCCTGCGGTAACATCCCAATAGGAACTGCTCTACGTACCGGCGTCCCGGCCAAGGGCTGTCACCCTTTCGGCGACCTAAACCCGTTTAGGTCAACAGTTAACTTATATGTGAGAAATACTACGTGGTTGACTTTTACGAAGACTTTCCACAAGTTTATTACGGCGTTGGCGCAGATGCGTTTTGGCTGACGCCTTGAGCGATCTACGTGTTTTATAGGCCCGACAAGGTAAAGGGAAGAGATACAACTTTGTTTTGCTTTGTATATAGCAGAGTTTCGAATAGTCGAGAGAGCCTATTGGCTGCATAAGAATTATAAGAAGTATAAAGATGTTGAGAGTCGTATTTCTGTTCAAAAGCTGTTATCAGATACTAGATGCCTGCTCTGAGGAGTTCAGAGATATCCCTTTTTACCTGTTTTTGAATACCTCCTTTATCGTTTTCTGTAGCAACCGAATTTCTTAGGTTAGTACAAGTTCCAGCCAATAACTTTCAAACCGAATTTCAGTTTCGGGTTTGCATCAACTTTCTAACTGTACGCGGGCCACACACACATCCACATGCACATATGACATAACAAATATTTGCTTGTTTGATTTTTTGCAACTGATAATACGTGCAAAATGTCTTTTTGTGTAGTGGCAGTAGTTGTCAGTGTGAAAGATATAAATCTACATTGGATATACACATCAGCGAACAAATTTCTGATAAGGATTTAAGCCTTGTCTCTAATTTGCATGCAAACATATATACGTATGTACGTACATTTGTATGTGTCTTTGTAGATCTCAAAGGAAAATAAGCTTGCACGTACATTTTTTTTAAATTTTTTTACTTTTGAAATTTATTAATGAAGCCAACAAAATGCTGTACTTTTTTCCTGAGTACATACATATTTCTACAAAATAAGAAGGATAAATAATAATAAATATTTATTATTGCAGAAACAAAAATGTATTTTTAATTTCAGTATTTCTTTGAATTCACATTACTGTTAAGAGATTTTTTAGTTCATTTCATTAAATTCTTGGAATAAATAAAAATTAAACTTAAATATTGTAATTCACATTGTACATATGTAGGTGTATATGTAGTGCATAAAGTTTGTGTATTTGTTGTATGTATATAATTAAGTAATTACTTTTCATCTTCGAACTTGCGTAAATCACGCGACATACGTACATAGTCCTGTATGTGTTTTACTTGTTGCCAATATATTTGCATCCATAGCGCATGCGCTGTTTCATAATTACTATCACTGTACTGATGTGGAGACAAATGTGCTTCTTGTGTAACCGACTTTGCTTTCACTTGGGATGTGGATGCTTTTTTGACCGTTTTCTTAGTTCCGCTTGCCTCTTTGGAGGATGAATCAGACATGACATTGACATCTTGTTCAAGTTTAGGCGATGTCTTTAATGTCTCCCGCTTTATAGTCGCCTTTTCAGCGGCTTTCATACCCGATTCAAACAAATTGCTTGCTTTTGTACTTTCAGGTCCATCCTCTATTTTATAGCGGTCATTAATATTCATTTCAAACTCTTTTTTTACTATCTTTGGTATATACACCGCCCTTGGCACGGCATCAACCTCTGTTGCAACCCTTACATTTTCGTCATTTGTCACTTCGTCATCTAAATCGTCAATCTCTATAGCATCATCTTCCTCCTCAATACATTCTTCGCAATCTTCTTCATCTTCATATGCATCATAATCCTCATCATCTTCATCCTCATCATCATCAGTCTCATCTTCATACTCATTGTCTGAGCCGCTTTCTGATGACGTAAGATAGCCATTGGTTAACCGCACATTATCAGAAGTGGCAATGCCAGAAGATGCGCTTGTGGTATTCCGTTCATTGAAACCACTGCTTAAGCCGCGTCCAGAATTCGAACGGGAGTTCAAGGAATCATTAGTACTGATTGTGGGAGATTGTTCGTCATTGCGGGAATGCAAGACCGAATCATTTAGAGCTGGCGAATCAGCAAGTGGGGGCTGATATGGGGGAATTTCAATCTGAAAAAAATATAAATATATATATGTATATTTAATAAAAAAGCCGATATATATATTTTTAATAAAAGAAACATATATTCAATAAAAACAATATATATTTGTATTTAATAAAAAAAAAACTTAGATTTTTAATTCATATATTTAATAAAAAAAAATATATATTTATTTAATAAAAAAAATATATATTTATTTAATAAAAAACATCTATATATATTTAATAAAAAAGCATATATCTAATAAAAAAAAAACATACAGATATATAATAAAAAAATTTATGTATTTTTAATTAAAAAAATTCATATTTAATAAAAACAATATATATTTGAATTTAATAAAAAAAAAAAACATAGATTTTTAATAAAAAAAAATATATTTACTGAGAATCCACACACTTATTTATTAAAAAAAAAACAAAAAAAAAACATTTATATATAACAAACTAAACGTATGTGACTTACCCTTGCGCCCACATTAACGGTCAAGTTATGCTGCTGCTGCTGTTGTTGTTGTTGTTGCTGTTGATTATAGGGCAGGCCCAAATGTCGTTGATTATTTGGTATAACATCAGGTATAGCATTGCCGGGCTGATTATGTGCTGGTGAAGTAAAATGCTTCACTTCGCACACTTCAACACTCTCAGTTATTGATTCAGCGTTTTTTATATCACTTGCTGTAGTCGTCGTATTTACATACTCTTCTATTGAATCCTGCATTTTCGATGGTGTGGCAACAGACAATATAAACGTAGCTTTATCAACCTCATTGGAGGCAGTTTCTTGACTCAAACTACTGGAATTATCTTCAGTATTAAAATTGGCATAGTCGGAATATAAATCGTGTTTGTTTTCAACAAATTTTCTCTCCACAGGTTGATCTATCAGCATCGATTTATAAGCAGCTATTTTGCTAGTTAAAGGCTTTTCCTCAACGCTATTAACTTCTGTCTATATGCAAATGAATGATAAAGAAACGAAATTAGAAAATAATATACATTTTGTGTGGACATAAATATATACCTCTTTCAGCGAGTTATCGGAATTTGTCAGCACAGCATTTTTGTAGTCTTCAAAGAAATCAATTTGTGGTTTCTTTTTACCCTCACCTTTGCCTGCATCACCTTGACTCTCACTACTATTGGGATCAACAAGGAATTCAAAAAGTGTGGGTATAGCAGCTTTTTGCATCAACACCGATTGATAACGCGAAATATCTTGTTGGCTGCTACGTAAGCTATCTGCCGCAATGCTACTAGCATCATCAATAGTATTAGATGAGGGTAGTTGTTGTGACGAGCTTTGACGTGAATCTACTGTAAGTTTATGTGAAGGTGAGTATTGTTGGTTGTTGGATTCTTGACGCTCCAACAGATACTCCTGCATATTCAAAGCGCTATCTTTCGAGTCTACTCGAAATGTGTTTGTATCAATAGAAGAGCTGGATTGATTTAACTGACTAACTTTGAGGTTTTCTTTATTTTCATGTGTATCAGAAAATGAACTATGATCTTGTGACGCCAATGGCGCAAGTGCCTCACAACCAAAAAGACCGAAATATTGCTTATCCTTTTCAAAGTTAGAAAAATCCCAGAAATCGCGTTCCCCTTCATCGGGCTTGCATTCCTCATGAGGAAACTTTAAGACACTCATGCCATTTCCAATTCGAGATATGAGTCGAGTTAAGTTACAGCGATCTTTTTCATTTGCTACAAAGTTTATAGCAATGCCGTGTGAGCCAAAGCGTCCTGCGCGTCCAATACGATGCAAATATGTCACCATATCTGTTGGCAATTCCAAATTTATAACCAAGTTTACATGTTCCGAATCAACGCCACGTGACATAAGATCCGTGGTTAGTATAATTCTTGATTTAAATTCACGAAATTTATGAAACATTTCGAGACGTGTTTTCTGATCCTGCGCGCCGGATATAAGTTCACATGGCCAACCTTCTTTTTCCAAATAGTTGCAATAAGAGTTTGCACGCGATTGGGAGCCGGCAAATATAAGACACTGCTTGAATGATATACGTCCAAATATAATGCGTAAAGCTTCCAATTTAGATTGCATTTCTAGTATACTTGTTTTTTGTTCCGCAACTTCGTAGACAAATTGTTTTATACCAACCAATAGTGTTGCACGCTCCTCAGTTGAAATCAGCAAAGGATTTCGCATTATTTTTGCCAACTCATCATCTAAACCGTCGCAAAATGTTGCACTGCAAGCAATGGTTTGACGTTTAGACGGCAAAGCGTTTTGTATGCGTTTCAAGTCTTGTCGGAAAGACTGAGTATACATTTTATCTGCTTCATCTAAAACCAATAAACGCATTTTGGATGTATTGAGCACGTTATTCTGTATCAAATGTAGCAATCGCCCTGGCGTTCCAACTACAGCTTTGGCACCTTGTAAACGTTTTCTGTCCTCACCAACGTCTAAGCCACCAATTACACTGACAGCTCTAAAGCCATGGCAACAGCTGCCGATCTGATTCAATACCAACTCTATTTGAACGGCAATTTCACGTGTCGGTGCTACTATCAAAGACTGTGGCTCTGGCAGGTCCATGCGATAAGCCTCTAATATTATTGTGCAAAAAATCAAAGTTTTTCCTGTGCCAGACTTTGATTGCACAAGTAAATCTGTGATAAAAAAAAATTTACTTAATTGGTAAAAAATTGGTTTGCATTATTTAACCTACCTAGTCCCGATTTACCCATTGGTATGGACATGGCTTGTATAGCAGTTGGATAAACAAATCCCGTTTTCTGCAAACCCTTACGCACTGCGTCTGACAAAAGCATTTTGCTAAACGGTGCGAGTTCTTTCAGTTTTACATCATCCGTTCGCACTTTTCCTTCCAGGCTGTGGGCAACAGCTCCACCCTCCATTTTTTATGAACTTGACAATAATTTTTCACTTTAAATTATAAACCGGTAACAGTATGAGTTTTAGTTAGCCGATTTCTTTAAAAAATAATGCAAAACAGCTGATAAATAGCGCTTCAATAGGTAGCGTTGCCACTCATTCAAATATTTGAATTTTTTGCCTTATGAATTTAATTATCGAATTTGCGCTTAAGCCAATAACAACCGCAGCATTATTCCAAAGTGATGTTTAGAGAATAACAGACCTTTTTAAAATAACAGACCTTAATTAGATAGAAGTCCGGCTCCGGGTATGATTAGCAGAGCAAAAGTGATTTATTTGAAATAGAGCACCTGATATACAAATTTTGAACTTTTACTTAACAAATTAATGACCGAACTCGAAAGGTTTGAGATATTACCATGTTTAATTATGCGAAAATCTATTAGATCCATTTAAATTTTAAATAAACTTTTTTAAAGTGTTTTACTTGTCTTTTTTTTTTTGCTTACAATAAATTGTTTTGTATATTTTATGGTACAATAGTTTTTTATTAAATATTTTAAAATTTATTTCTTCATAAATAAATTTGTTAGTACAAAAATAAATTACATAAATAAAGCAAAAGTCGTAATAAGAATAAGAAATAAAATAACTTTGATTTATGATTGTGCTATTGATTCTCCTTCAGTTTCGTCAATCTTCCGAAACTAAATCAATAGATATCTGTATACGTAGACTTATTCCCCGCCATGTTGTTATTACAACAAATTGAGAACAAATTACATTGCTATTTTACTAATCTGGTAACGTTCACCGTGATTGTGAACATAATTTTTTGCAAATAACGCAGGCATAATAATAAACTCTACATCTTTCCTTGTGTCGAAAGAATATTTTAATATTTTCTCACATTTAAATAAACACTTGCAAAATGGGCGATATTCAAACTCTAGTGGATATGGGCTTTGCCAAGGAGAAGGTGTAAGTATTAAATGAAACTGATCCGGCGTTTAGAGAATTTTTCTACCTTCGATCTTGTTTTTATATTTATTATTTCATATTGGTTTTGTAAATAATAGAGAATACGCCGTAAAAGTTACTAATAATAAAGGTGTCGAACCGGCTATGGAATGGCTGCTGGCTCATGCTGATGAAAATATACCCGTAGAAACGGCAACGGCAGAAACGGCCAACAACAGCGATAGTGTGGGGGAGAGTGCAAATCCTTCCACTTCATCCGGCGCTGAAGCAAAATCATTGAAATGTGATGATTGTGGAAAATTATGCAACGATCAAGCGGAAATTGAGTTTCATGCAGCTAAAACTGGTCATAAAAATTTCTCGGAGTCGACCGAGGAAAAGAAACCACTAACTGAAGAGGAAAAGAAAGCACAACTTGTGCTAATTGAAGAGAAATTGAAACAAAAACGTCAAGAAAGAGAAGAACGTGAAAAGGCCGATGCGTTGGAAAGGGAGAAGAACCGCATAAAATCTGGGAAGGATATGACTGAAGCACGGAAACGTATGGAAGAATTAGAAATGAAAAAGATAGTAGATCAACGTAAACGTGAGAAAGCTGAGGAAAAAGCAGCACGTGAACGTGTACGTGCACAAATTGAGGCCGACAAAGCGGCGCGTAAAGCCCGGTAAGGTCTTATGTTAAGTAAACTTTGGTTTTTGGTATAATACAATATATGCTTAATTTTTCAGAGAACAAAAACAAACTGATCAGGTTTCTCCAGTAACTTCTCCTACACTGCCAACAGCTGCATCTACTTCAAGTGTTAAGACGCCACCTAAAGATTACACACAAACACGCATACAGGTACGCTTGCGTGATGGCTCCACTTTAACTGAAACTTTCAACGTGAAAGAACAATTATCTGCGGTGCGGGTTTTCATACAACTGAAAACAGGGGATGATACAACATTTAATTTAATGACAACATTTCCCAGAAAGGTATTTACCGAAGAAGATTTTGAAAAACCACTCGATATACTCGGTCTAGTGCCCTCCGCTGTGCTTATTATGACTAAATAAAATCAACATTATACGAAAATGGATTATTCTCGAAAATAAATTCGCTTTCGTGTGAGTCGTAAATATAAATTTATTGCTGTAATTCAATGTAGCATTTTATATTGAACTATTTTGTAGAATTAGTGACATATGCTCAACTAAAAAAGGGCCAGTATAAATAAACAAAAAAAAAATTATAATAAAAAAAGAAATGATTTGTATTTTTGCGGAAAAATAATTTGGAAGATAAATAACGTCACCACATCCAAGTGACTTAGAGGTTTTGTAAAATTAGAAAAAAAAATACGATGCATTTTTTTTCGTTGAACTATAGCTTTGAAAATGAAACTATTTATTTTTTAGTTCTTTTAGTATAATTATGTATATCCAGCTTTATTCGTAAAGGTTTCTTTTCAGGAAAACATTAAACAAAAATTAATTTTTAAATTTAAAAAAATCTGAAATTCGTCGTGATTAATTGCCAGTAGTATAAAGTAAGCGTACATCATTTCTACAATAATAACATTTCTACATGTATAACACAAAATTACATTATTTCGATAATAGTGTTTAATATGTGCTAAGCGTGATTTACGCATCTATTTCTCAATTATCTAAATACGGGCATACATAAATACATATGTATAAAACTCCATCTCCTGCCTCTATGCATTTCTGCCGCTATTTTTAAAAGTTTCGTATTGCATTATTAAAAATATATGTATGTATATATTGTAAATTTTTCTCTCATCTATTCGCGTGCATATGTGCACAAAATCAGATCTTATCCCTTTTATCCAAAATGTATAAATTACAATAATTTCTCTCTTAGAAGAAGTAATCCCTTTCATATTCGCACGCCATATTATCGTTGTCTAATATGTATACGTATCAAGAATAGTTTTGCTATTGTTGTTGCTATTGTGTTGAATGATCTTTCTTACAGCGTAAACCACATAAGGAATTGCAGTAACTTATAAGTGTTGACTACAGGAAATTCCCATTTTTTCTCTTGCTCTCTCAGTAATGGCGGCACATTGCTAGGATAATGTATGGGTTTCGATATGTGGCAATTGGTAATTACTGTACCGCCTGGATAATCAATGGGCACTGCATCGCCCGGCACACCATCACAATCGGTAAGCTCAAATTGTTTGGTAAGACAAATACGTATCTCCTCGAGATAACTCACGTCTCGCTTGTTGTCATATATGCAATGTATGGATGGATTTTTGCCCAGCGATTTCACCAGTGCATTCTGTAGTGCTACCACCGTATTATTTGAATCTGGATGTATGCCAGCATTTCCCAATATATTTGACATTAAGAATTTTTCTCGCCATTCCAATCCCTGTGTGAAGTATTTCAGTTCATTATCTAGCTGCGCCAAGGAGGCAGCACATGTACCATGCTTCAACCATTCATGCGCCCAGAAATGACCCAACTTCTGTTCACCATCGATTGTTGGCCAATATGTTTTAAGATTTGTCATAATCTTGTCCAATTGATCTAAATCGAAATCGGCGGTCTTATTGCAAAAACTCGGACCCATATGTCCCAACTTTGTTGGCCAAACACCATGTATAGTCCAGAATTCCTTTTTGTCGGGTAAAAGACATGCATGTGTACTGTCTTCCTCCCGCCAGTGGTAGCATGTCGTGACTGGCCATTGTTGTGTAAATATTAACAAATCCCATTCATGATCGCCATCCTCCTCCTGCTCACCACTAAAATACTCATTGGAAATTTCATTAGAAAATGGTAAAAATTCATTGCTTAGCAAATCGCTGTTGTTGTTGTTGTTGTTGTTGTGTAGTTCAGTATTTGTTGTTAGCGTATTTTCATCAGATGTTTCCTCGGAACTTGTGGCTATGTTGGAACTGAAAGAGAATAAGATTGCTTATGAGTTTTGTATTTTGAGGGCAATTTGTTCATAGAATTTTATTTCTATTTAAATATTTTAATATATTCTGATGATATTGATTGTGTTTATGTATTTTTAATATTTTTTTTCTTTTAAAAAGCGTTAGTAATAAAAATATTTTACCTGCGTTTATGTAATGCAAAATATTTTACAATAATTTCTTTTTATAAAATGTTTCCATTTTATATAAAAAGTTTTTGGCTAACAAAATAAAAATATTTTCTACTATTTCTAACAATCCCTTATTTCTTATTATTATTTTTTTTTTTAAGTTTAGCAGCACTTTCAAAATAAAAAAGTATCTCGAAAATCGCTTTAAGGTACCAATTATGTTTATACATATGTACGTATGTATTTAAAAATCATTTTCATAAATTAGCACACATCTACTTCCCCGCAACTTAACTTTGGCATACATATATGCCTCTACTCCACTTTTAATGCTGTCGTATTAGCGAAAAATTTGAAATTAGTTGAATTAGCTTTTATTCGCACGTCAAAGCCCAAGCGAATAAGCCAAGCTTTGTTCCATTGAGGTGGCCACTTTGGCTGTGTAATGGGGAAGACCTGTTTGACAGCTCAAGCATAACTGACTAAGCCGGAATTTCCAATTGTGAATATAAGCATTGGCCGTGAATTACTTATCAACAATTCAATACGGGTTGTGTTGTGTTGTGTTCTGTTGTACTCGGTTGTGTTCTTTCATTCATCGCGCACAATGTTAAAATCAAGGCTTTTAATCCTTTTAATTTGCCTACAAGTTTATATTTGTACACAAATAACAACTGTTGCCGGACAAAGTGTTGTTAGCCCTATACCGGAGAGCAATACCGTATTTGTAGCGCCAAAAAATGGTTTTAAAAATCAAACAACTGCCGATTTGGTAGCGTTTAGTGCTTTGAATTTTGCACACAATGTCGGCCTACTGCTAAACGAGGACATGCATTTGGGTCAGACAACTATATTTTCGCCAGTTAGCATTATGTCTTCAATGGTCTTGCTGATGTTGGGGTCGAAAGGTAGAAGCTTTGAGGATTTAAGACATATCTTTCGCTTGGATACGCCACCGCTAAGTGACAATTTTAACGCTTTTCATGCGGAATTCGGTGCCATGTTGCAGGAAATGCAAGATAACGCAATTACGTTACAGTCGAGAAATCGCGATAATTGGCGCAATACGAATGTGGCATATAGTATAAGAAATAAACCGAAAGTTAAAGTGGAAAATGGCACTAATGCATTGAACTTGATTAAAATTGTAAATGGTTTATTTGTGAAAAATGGTTATGAATTGAATCCGACTTACAGGTACGTTGCGTTTAAAAATAAAAAATACCCACACATACATACATATATTATTATACATTGCGTGTACTGTTTATTAATTTAATTTTCACTTTGCAGAGATGTTATCAATGCCATTTACAAGTGTGACGTTATGCCATTGGACTTCAAATTGCCCTTTGCGCGTGATTATATCAATGATTGGGTTTATAAAAATACTTTTGGCAAAATCTCTGGCATCCTAACAGATCAAATACCCGCCGATACGAATGCCATCATCACGAGTGCGTTATATTTTAAAGGCTTTTGGGATAATCCATTTCTTCAGGGTGCCACGGTGATTGACAATTTCTATCCGGATGGTGTTTTAAATGAACCGATTAAGGTACAAATGATGGCCACTGCTGGCCCATATCCATACTATTATTCCCCTGAGGATGACTGCCGCATAATTGGCTTACCATATGTCCACAACTACACGAGCATGTACGTAATACAACCATTGAACTCGAGTCGTACTAGCTTAAGAAGACTATTGAAAACTTTAAGCGCCGAAAAAATAGAAGACATGATTGCAAAAATGGTTTATCAAAATGCTATCTTTGCATTGCCAAAAATGCATTTCACACAAAATATTAATATGAAAAAAATATTCCGTGCACTCGGCATTGCGGATATATTCCCAAGTGCCGTGCGTAATGACTTTCCACCTGCAAATACGCATATAAGTGACTTAGCGCAAAGAACGTGGCCGCGTGTAAAGCATAATATTGTCTTTCCCACAGAAGCAAACGCAAATCTCTTTCAAAAGTCACCTGCTACACCCGCGGAACTGCTGAGATTTTGGAGTTTCAATCGAAATGTGAGCGAAAATCTACTCTCCGATCTTTTTGTAGGCGATATTGTGCATAAAGTCGACTTTGTCGTGGACGAAAATGGCACAGAAGGTGCAGCAGCCACAGCGACGTATCTCAAGCGTTCGGGCGGCAATGTTCTATTCAGAGCGGATACACCGTTTTTGCTGTTGGTGCGTCATGATCCAACAAAGTTGCCGCTATTTTATGGCATCATTAATTTGCCTGCGCCCAGTTTTATTTGAGGATAATTACTTTTTAAAAACCTATTTTATTTAAATAATGCTGCCACTATTCGTAAGTTTTTTTTAAAAGATGGAAAAAAAAATATATATATACATACAAACATATACTCAAGTTAAAACAAAAAAAATATATACACATATGTATATATGTATATTTAGGGTAAAAGCGAACAATTTTTAGTTACGTTAAGGGAAATTAATCTTTAGGCTAAAATCGAACGTTGTAATAAGCTTAAGTTTTGAGTCTAGTTTCTCAATTCAAACTTTTAAGATTCCCAAAAATGAAATTAAAAATGTAGAAACATAACGGAAATTTAAAAAAATGCCGGAAATTAAAAAAAAAATATTTTTTAATTTATATGATCATTCAGAAGTACTAAAGTAACAAAATAACTTAATTACTATACAAGCAGTGCACGAAAATTAGAGAAAAAACTGATGAGAACTAAAACAAAATTTCAAAACTTTGGTGAGAAATGAATTAAATTTTTTAGTTATGCGAAATATTTGAAGCAAAGCATAAAAAACTTTATTTGTTGGACGAAGAAAGACAAAAATATTTTTTTAAGTTTTTAGAAAAAAAAATTAAATTTTCAAGAAAGATTTTATAAAAACAAAAAGTTAAAATCGTAAAATTTAAAGTCAAAAGCGATCATTTGAACAAACAAAAGTATAAGAACTTGTATTATTAGATGAGCAAAGCTTAAAAACTGGTTAAGCAAGAAATGAAAAAAGAACGGTTTGAAAACTAGTTTTTAAATTAAAAAGGAATGAAACTTAAATTAATAAAAATATTGTAAATTCAAAACATAGAGGTTATTTTTTATTAAATTTTAAGTTAAAAGCAAAGATTTTGAAAAATATAAATAAAATCCGTAATTGCAAAATAAAATAACACATATGTATGTTGAAACAAAGTTAATGAAAAACAAACGTTTTGAAAACTAGTTTTTAAATTAAAAAGGAATGAAAACGAATAATTGAACTTTCCAGGAGAAAACTTTAATTTAAATTAAAAAAAAAATTTCGTAAATTCAAAGCATAGAGGAATTTTTTTTTTTAATTTTTTTTATATTATATTTTTTTCATATTTTGAAAAAGAAAATTAAAAACAGTAATTGCAAAAAACAAGCACAAATGTTGCTACAAAGTTAATGAGTTAAATGGAAAACATAAAATAGAGCAAAAAACTTTTATTTCCCAAAAAAGTTATTATATTTTTAAAATAATTTAAAATTTTTTTTTTTTTAGAAAAACGTAAATAAAAAATAAGAACATTAAGCTACAAAAACTTTAAAATATATTATTTTACAAAAAAAAATAAAAAATAATAATAACAAAATAATTTAAATAACATAAAACAGAGCTAAAAACTTTTATTTCCCAAAAAAGGTATTAAATTTTTAAATTTAATTAAAAAAAAAATTTTTTTAGAGAAACGAAAATTGAAAATAAGAACCTTTAGCTACAAAAACTTAAAAATATAGTATTTTACAAAAAAAAAATAATGGAAAAAATAACTCAAAATTGCTTAGCATAACGCGTGAACACAAAATTTATTTGAAAAACAAAAAAATACACTAAAAAATAATAATAACAAATTAATTTAAATTACACTCTCTTCTACTACCTTTGCTCTTGTACGTATGAAAAAAAAAATTTAGGTGTTTATATTAGTGGCTGCTGCTTCTGAGCAAAAAAGAAGAATAATTACCAATTTTTTTTATTAATGTATAAAAAGTGAAGGTCAAATTTTATAGTCGATATACTGTAAACGTATTTATATAAGCACGCGAGTCTGTGTATTTGTGTATTTAATATGTACGTACGTGTAAAACAATAATACAGATTTTAAGCTGTAAAATTTTCCAAAATTAAAAAATTAAACAATTACAAAAACAAGTTGTGTATAAGTGAAAAGTTGTGAAAAAAAGCAATTTAAATTTTTCTACACACAAATATACTTGTGCAGTTCATAAATAATACATACTTACAAATATAAGCAATTAAATTATTTATTACTTCGCTGTAAAAACTGTATGATATCAACAAAAAAATATTTTATAAAAAAAATTACACTTATAACAATAAAATTTAGTTGTCATGCACTATTTGTAATTTTAACTAAATATTTACTGTATTTACATAACCTCTGCACTTGTTTTGAATACAAACGAATTCTAGTTATACTTATGATGACTACTTTGGGAATTTCCCAAAAAATTTCACCGCAAAGCTGACTGAATAATTAACAAATACATAAATACTTTTATTTGTTTATTTTCTTTATTTTTATGAACGCAATTTGAGTGCAAAGGCAAAACGCTATTATTATTATTATTATTATAAATACTACTGTTAAAGTAAAGTCTCCTAATTAGTGAAGTCATTATGTGAATGATTTTAAATATAATAAATAAATTTTTTTTTTTGATTTTGTGACGTCACTCAACTTGTTTTGAAGCTACTACACAGGCGAGTTGAGTGACTGTTATTTGAATATTTCATTAAAAAAAATATATACTATATACATTATGATTTAGATTGCTGTTTGCGACAACAGTGGCTTGCAAAAAGAAAAAAAAAAAACAACAAAAAAAGATAAGCACAATACCATTATTATTATGCAAATATAAATATTGACAGGCTAAGAACTAGTTTAGTCATCGCACGGAAGATGGCAAAGCAAAAAAGGTAAACATTTTTCGAAATTCAGTTATATTGTACTTACATATATATGAGTATATATTTATATGTATGAATAGCGCATGTGCTTTTTGAATATAAATTTGTTATTTGTCGTCGAAAACCTTTGAAAGCTCCTTTGTTTATTTTCCTCGTTAAACACGCTATGCGTACTTATATATGTGTATGTGTGTGTGTGGATGTGTTTCATTTTTAGTTTTTTGCGTTTTTTTTTTGCAAAACCTATACATTATTAGTCGCTGATAATTTGAAACTAAAAGCGATAAGCTTGTTTGTGTTTTAAAACTTTGTGCTTTTTTATAAAATAAGTTTTTTTTTTCTACTTCTCAAAAATTAGGTCGTTCCGCCGACTTTTCATGTTATCTAATTACAGAGAGCGTTACTATAGTTACATATATAAGGCTTCAAATTTTTTTTCTTGTTTTTGCACGTTGTTTGGGTATTTTCCCTTCATTGTTAGTGAAAAACGAAATTTTTCTTAAAAAAAAAGTTGCTTCTTTACTTTAAATATCCAACTGAACCGTGTTGTAAAGCCAATTTTTGTTCCATTTTGGATGAAACATTTGTGTTTTTAGCCTAGCTGAGTTGTTGTTGCCTAAAGATTCGACTCTCGCGGTAACTTTTGGTTTTTAGTTGCCTCTTGCGACAAGCATGCCTTACTGCAAGATAATTCTTAAACCCTTACCTCGCCGCAGTATCAAGAACAAGAGCGGAGCATCGTCTGGTTCGTCAACCGTCTGGCTTAAGCAACGTAAATACATAATTTTCCCGTAACTTTGTCATTAGAACAGGACACAGCATCGAACCTTTCAGTGCCATTTAAGGAGGTGAAGCAAAAGCAATTCGTCGAGAGAGCAGACTCTGGGAATGAGCTAAGTGCTGCAGAATCGCGTAGACTATGTGTAAAATATGGAATACAAAACTCACAAAGTTTGTACTATCTGTTAAGAGACCGAACTCCAGACTGCTGACGAGACTATTAATAGAGCTTTGCCCTCTGGTGTCTCATGCGTTTAAGATAGGTCTGATTGCGAACAACAAATGCTCATCATTCCATCGGTTGCAGTATTCGCCGTTACCAACTCGCAGAGGGTCGTAATCCTTAAGCAAAGCTTTTCACTCGAAAACTCGTAACGCCGACTTATCAGATGTTGTTATCGTCCAAGCTTCCGCACCATAGAGCAGGTCGGGAAAGACGAAGGACATGCAGAGTTTGGACTTTGTTTGTCCAGGGAGGACTTTACTTTTCAACTGCCTACTCAGTTCAAAGTAGCACCTGTTGGCAAGAGTGATTCTTTGTAGAATTTTCAGGCTGACATTGTTGTTGGTGTTAATACTGATTTCAAGATAGACAAAATTACCTTCGACATCAAAGTGTCTGTGACTGTCAACACCACGGCGCTGTCGGAAATGGGAATGCCATGACTGTTTGTGTGATGACAGGAGATATTTCGTCTTGTCCTCGTTCACTACCAGACCCATATCCTTCGCTTCCTTATCCAGTCTGGAGAAAGCAGAGCTCACGTCTACTTAGGTTCGCGAGAAAAACAGCAATGTTCTTCACACTAGAGTCTCAATAGAAGTACAGCAGCACAGCTTGATCGCATGCAGTGTGCCTGGCAACACTATGGATGTATTTCATCTATGTGGAATCCACTGAATTAGCCAGCTTTACCTAACCAAACCTTGCCATAAACAGATTCAAACGCCCTCAACGTGAGTTATGAGTGTCAGAGGCAAGCACCGCGCCCACTCAACAAGAAAATTATAGATAATAAATGTTTTTATTTGCGGTCACCCCTCGACAGGGAATGTTGTCAAGCCCTCTGAATGTATAAAATGCCAATTATAGATATACTCGTACTTATATACATATGTACACACGTCATTTGGCAATACATCATTAATTTTATATTTCACTTGAAGCTTCGTGCCAATGGCTCTTAATATTTTTTCTGTTATATTTGTGAGTCACAAAAAAAGGCATAAGTCATCTTTTAAGACGCCTACATATGTGCATAAATATGGTGTGAATCCCCAATGGGAGATAGGCTCTGCATTTAAATTAAATTCTGATACACAGTTTTGCTATAACTGTATTAATTTTAATGAATCTTCGAGCCTCAACTTGAAAATCCAGATAAGGTTGCCCACTTATATATATATAATTGGCGCTTTGCTACCGCTGAAGTGATTTTCGGCCGAGCTTCTCCTCCAATTTGTGGGTTTGCGTCCAGATGTTTTTCCAACAAATGTGTAGTTCCTCAGAGCGACTGGTGGTTTTTATGAGGTGCTTTTTTTAATGTCAGAAATACACTCAGAGGGGTTCACATTCCCTGCCGAGAGGCGACCGCAATTAGAAAATTTAGCCAAGTTTTTCATTTAAATTAATTTTCCATAACTTCTGGATGTTGATCGCACCGGCATTTGAACCCGGGCCTTCCGGATAGTGGCACTCAATGTTAACTACTCGCCAAACGATTAAACCAGGCTTACAAATCGATGCATCACTCTCTTACTACTATTGTGAAAGTGTGCCTTTAGTGACTCTATGGACTGCGGTCAGAAGGAATCAAAATATATATTTGAGATCTCATAGCAAGTGCAAAGAAACAAAGTGAGTCTCACTTGGATGCAGAAGGTAAGGAAAGGAAAATGGTCATCATCGACGAGATCAGATCCGACAGTACCTTATTTAACACTGTGGGCCGCGCGGGAGTACTTCGGACACAGTGTTCATTACAGACAGACCAAACTTTGCTGGCATCAACCAAAAGAGAGTTTTGTATTATTCTAGTCTATCTGAAGATATCATCGTCACAAGCTGGGCTACTAGTAAAATCTAAGTTCAGAACGTGTACAGAAGAGAAATATGCTGCTCAAACCTCGCAAATGTTCGGCCTTCAGCCGTTCGACACGTCAAATCTTTTACGAAGTTCTAAGCTCTCAAATAATGGAGATGGTTAAAAGAAATTAAAACAAGTCAACAAATCGAGCGAATCGAATCTGCATATCCCAGGTGAGTACAATGATTCTTCTCAATGGCTTAGGTATAGCTACTCGCAGTCCAATTCCACAACCGCGTCTTCGCACTAATCAATCAACCAACCAAGAGTTAATTCGACTATACGAAACAGATCATAGCCGTAGTAGCTGAGTGGGTAGCACTGTGTAGGGCATGAAATAAAGGCTGCTCATAAAAATCCATCGGCTATTCGGAAGCCCTCCATTCATATTGGTAAAAAAGCAAAACGCACACAACGAATTGAAGGAGGAGCTCGGCCGAAGTCTGCCAATTATATATATGATAGTTCCACGATTGTATGGGTGTCACCACTTCCGGGCTCTTTGTTTACTGTGGTTTGAAGTTGGACTCGACTTACGTTGTTTACAAGAAGACTGTCGCCATGTCGCCCTGTCGATTTGTCTACGTCCACAGAGCGTAATTTCAAAAGCAAAAGCAAAAGAAATTATATGAAGTCTATAGTGAGAGCTGTATGAGGCATTGGTTGCCATCCTTTCGTTCTGGAAATCAATCCGACAAAGGCACCACACACATGCTGATCGTCCATCCACTATGTAACACCCTTTATCCACGACTTCAAAGTTATGACTGTCAAGGGTGACTTGGAAGCCGAGTCGCGAATGCGATGACAGTTTGTTTGATAACGTCTTGCCCGCGTTCACTACCAGACCAATATTCTTCGCTGCCTTGACCAGTCTGGAGAAAGCAGAACTCACGGCGCGGTTGTTGTTCTGCAGCTCATATTGTAAATAATTTTAATAAATTAAAGAAGTCACTCGATATGGTATCACACTGTCTGAAACCTCTTTTGGTATCGAACGGCTCAGAGAGGTCCTTACCGATTCTGACGGAGCTTTAAGTGTTGCATAAGGTCAGTTTACATAGCATATCCCACGTTAATTGGTCTAGACCGTGCGGTCCCCTATTTAATGAATTGGAGAGAGCACACCAAAATTCCAATCGTCGAATAATCACAAAACCAAAAATTTCTTTTAAACAATTAAAAGGTTTTACGAATGTTGGATTTCTAAAAAAAACGGTAGATACAGCATTGATTAATATTTGTTGCTATTAATACCAAAAATTTACTTTGAAGAATATGTTGGCTAACCATCAACCAAGCAAGTTTCAGATAAATCTTCATACTGAGACTCTCTTTGAAACTTCTTTTATACTTCGAATAGAATAAGATCAGCCTATAGTATTCACAAAGCACATGACTCGCACCAAAACAACCAGTTGACGGGTCATTACTTTAATAACCAAATCATTTGATTGCCCATTTAGGGCTCCAAACCACTTTGTTGCTTGATTTTGGTTTAATTCATACATTTTTGCTGTGTCGCTCAATTTCCTGCAGTGCACTTCTACCTACAACCACACACACACACGCACACACACACACACATGTATAGACGCCCTTGTTTACCAAATTGATTTTGCCAAACTTGACTTTTTCGTCATGAAAGCCGATCAAACGGCTTTCAGATTATTAAATTTTATTTTTTTTGTTTATTTGTTTCTCTAAACGATAGTTTGTCGTTGTTGTTATTATTCATCATCACTTACCTAATCACATATAGCCACTGTGTGGTAAAGAGGAATAAGCCGAAAATGAACCAAAATATTCGTTGTTGTCCCATGTTTTCAGTTTTTATTTGTCAACTTTGCTTTGATTTCGGTTATTGCAGTTTAGTGTATTTTCCACTAATTTAACTGTCTATTGCAATCTATTTATTCTCAAGGTATCAAAATTTCGTTTTCGTTTTCGTTTTTGGTTTTTTGTTTGATTTTTCACGTTTTTTTTTTCTGTTGCTGCTCTGCACTTATTTGGCACTGTTTGTTATTGGTGTCCAATCAAGTGGCTATGTGCATATGTATGTATGTACATATATACGTGTATGTATTTGTGTCCGCAACTCTCCACTGTGTACGTGCTGTTATTTCTTTTATTTATCTATTTAATTAATTTTTTTTTTAATATTTTTGTTTTATGTTTCTGCTTTTCACTGTCACGTTGCTTTCGTTGCTTCTATTATATTTAGTTGTATTTCTTGCTGCTTTTTCAATTTGTCCATAATTATTGAACAAAGCTCCACACTCACTGTGCACTAAAGCCAGCAGCTAAGGAAAAACGTTCGGCTTTTCCACGGTCATCTGTCATTTTCTCGTATTTTCTTTTGCGTTTTCACTAAACCTTCACTGACGTTCCACCGAACATATTTTTTTTTTCGCAGTAAATTGTCAAAATCGCTTTTATTTTAGCACGCTTGTTTGAAACGCAAACGCAAACTACCCGTGTAATATATTTTTGTACGTACAGAGATACAAATGTATGTACACATTGACTACCTACTAAATACTTGCTGTACGAGTTTGCTCTATACTTTGTTGTACTCAGTACTCTCTTGCTGGTACTTAGTAACGCTCTAATGTGACACTACCATTTTACGAGCGTTCGTATGTTTCTACTCAACTGTAGTGCTTTTTGGTATTCTTCAGCCACACAGGCACTGCTGCAGCAACGACAAATAATCAACATTAGATGTTAAAGAGCGCAAAATATGTGGGGGGAGCTAAGAGAGTCACCCATACAAATGCACAAATGTATCTGTGAAAGGTAAGTGCATAAATGACGCATAAAAGGGGTTACTAAGAGAAAACAATCGCCTGTAGTATAAAGGGTGCTCAGAGCAATATAAGAATTTTTGAATTTTTACACGATTTTATTTTATAAAAAAATCAAATATATTATAATTCAATATAATAAAATAATTGAATCAAATTTAATAAAATTGAATATAATATAGCAAAATATCAAAAAAGTGCCATAAATAGTTTAAAGAAAATTATTTAAAATAAAAAAATTATAAAAATAAATAAATACAATAAATAATTTGAATTAAATGATTTAAAATAAAGAAAAAAACATAATGGAAAATAAATTTAAAAAATAGCAAAACATAGTTAAATACAATAAATAATTTAAATACAATAATTTTAATTAAAGAAAAAACACTATAGAAAAAAAAAAATAAATATAATTAAAAAAAAACGGAAAAAAGAAAAGCAATAAAATAATTAATATAAAATTAAATAAATGGTATTTGATTTAATTAAATGAAAGAAAAAAATAAAATAAATTTAATAAAATCAAACATAATTTAATAAAAAAATAATTATATAGCAAAATATAAATAAATGTTACATAATTCAAATAAAGACACAACCAATAATAAAAAAATAACATAATAAAAAAAGCAAAAAAATTTAATTAAATAAAGAAATTAAATAATTTAAATTATAACTCAAATAAAATAATACAACATAAAATGAAATGGAATTAAATTAAATAGAAGAAAGTTTCATAAAATATATCATAATAAATTAAAAACAAATTTAAAAAAAATATAATGTAACATAATGTGTATATAAATAAAATAAAATAAAATAAAAATAAACTAATTAGAAGAAAAAAATTGAAAATTAAATAAAATAAAATATAATAAAATAAAATAAAATAAAATGAGATGAAATAAAATAAAATAAATAAAATAAAATAAAATGAATTTAAAAAAAAAAATAAAATATAATAAAAGAAACTAAAATAAAATAAAAAAAATAAAAAAATTAAAAAAAAATAAAATTGAAAAAAGTAAATATAATAACATGAAACGAAACGAAATGTAATGAAATGAAATGATATAAAAAATAAAATTATAATATAACATAAAAGAATATTAAAAAATTAAACTCAATAGAAGAAAATGAAATAAAATAAGATAAAGTAAAATAAAATAGAATAAAATAAAATAAACTCAAATAAAATAAAATTAAATTAAAAAAAAAATTAAAAAAGTTAAACTGAAAAAGGCCAAAAAAAAATTATAATAAAATATTATAACAGGGAACGAAACGAAATGTAAAAAAATGAAATAAAATGAAAAATGAACTAAGATATAAAATATTTAAATAAAGTAAAAAAATAAAACAATATACAATTTAGAAAATTAGAAGAAAATATATAAAAAAATTAGAAAATTGAATAGAACAAAATAAATGTATATAAAATAAAATAAAATATAATAAGTAAAAAAAATAGAAAATAAAACAAAATAAAATAAACTATAATGAAAAGAAATGAAATGATAAAATGAAATTAAATGAAGTGATACGAAACGAAACGGAAAGAAATGAAATGAATAAAAAAAATTCAAAATTTATTAAAAATTAAAATAATATAAAACTTAAATAAAGTAGAAGAAAGTAAAATAAAATAAAACCATCATAATAAAAAAAAAAAAACTACATGAATTTAAATTAAATTAAATTACAATAAACAAAATAAAATAAAATGAAAAGCAACATAATAAAATAAAAAAAATTAATTAAATTAATAAAAAAAATATTAAAATTGAAAAAGTAATAATATGAAATTTAAGCAAAAAGAAGAAAAATAAAATAATGTGAAAGCAAACAAAATACTATAAAGTCAAACCAAATCAAATGACATGAAATAATATAATTCATATATGTAAAATGAATTGAAATGATAAGAAATAAAGTGTAAAAACAATAAACTGACATTAAATTGAATTATATGATATTGTTATACAGAAGTAAAATATAGTAAAACATAATAAATGAAAATATAAAATAATTAAATGCAAAGAAATTAAAACAAGCTCGGTGGCCACAATAGCCAAGTATGTATTTGCATGTGGACATTCATGGATTGCAATCCTGACCATAACAATAATTTTTTAAATAATAAATCTAGTTATTTAAATTTTAGAAAAAACATCGGGACGCAACCCAAAAATTGAAGCAGGAGCTAGGCCGAAAATGTATTCAGTGGTCACAAAGCACAAATATGTATATATATGAAACAAAATACAATAATTATTATACTTTATTAATAATATGAAAATTAAAAAAATAAAGTAAGAAGAAACTAAAATAAGAAGCGAAATTGAGTATAAATTAATAAAAATGCGTAAGAAATATAAAATATTGCAAATATGTATAATTTAATTAAGGTAATAAATTTAAAAATTGAAAAAAAAAATATTCTAATAGAAAAACAGATATAAATAATATTGATTATCCCTAAATGCACTTGAACAAATGTGAAAGGACACCCTCAAATTGCTTTCTCTATTAGTTAAAGCAACGAGAAAACCTTTACGATAAGTTATTTGATATAGAGCACATCTGAAAATAATTCCATTAGAGATTTGGGCGGCATCTACATTTCAATACTATAAAACATCAACTGTATAAACCGGAAGCGGAAGCTTTGCTGTGTGACCAGGCAGAGAATAATAATATTATTATTATAGATTTTCTGTTATATACAAAACAAAATACAATTTTTGTCAATATGTATTGTTGTTTTGTATTTCGATTTGTTTGCTTTGAAACATTTCTCTACACAAACCCTTAACCATATATATAAATACATCTTAATTATAAACTTTGTATCTGTAAAAACTAGGTTAAAACGTAAAATTTCATTTATGTATGTATGTACTTATGTCGGTTTGTATGTTAGCACTTATAATCTGCCTCAGCGTCACAATGTCTCGGAATCAAATCTAGAAGTGATTGACATGAAACTGCTACCTGTTTTTTGATAATTAATAACAATGCAATTACATACTTATTTGCCCCCTTTTTTTTATCAACACATGAGTCATTCGTCTTTATAAGTGCTGCGTATGTTACAAAGATTAATAAGTATAACTAGTGTGCACAGAAACCCCATGAATTTAGTTGAGTTTCTGCGGCTGGAGGTCGCTATCTTGAGAAATTGTCAGTTTAAGCACAAACTTTGCCGTTGACAAAGATAAACGTGTATCGTATGAATGTTTTATTGTTCGTCTGCCTTGCAATTACCTGGGATGTCACAGTGTCTAGGTATCCAGACCACGGCAGTGTTGCATTAGGTCGAGGGTTTGTTCAGATTTCTTCTATATTTTACAGCCACCTTTGATGTGGTACTGTTACATTGTAGAGATCTGATGATAACTTGACTGTCGGAATATATATATTGTAACCCGCTGTCCTGCTGCAGTAGATTTGAGCAGCCACTCGATGGCTCGTGGAGAAAAGATTGTCAAAGCACATATTGGAGGCGGTGTAGTCAGCTCCTTCGTCACTTCTGCAAGAGATATTTCAGTGTGTTCCATACTGCATTTCTTCCAATGTTGAGTTGGAGTTACAGCTCGCTTGTAATATGGGTCCAGAAGAAGGAAGTAAAGAAGAGTTTTAAGTGTTTTTGAGGGCGTTAATGACAGTGCTCCTGTTACGAGGATAGAAAACGACAATTGAACTTTCTCTAAATTGCTTCTGAAAGTAATTTTGTCGAGTGCCCGGCCACTATATAGTGACGCCGTAAAGTAGGATTGGTCTAACTACCGATGAAGAAGTCCAGTGCACGAAATTCGGTCGTAGAATCCATCGCCGTTTTGCACGTGTACAGTACAGTTATAGCAGTCTTTGACCTATCTTAAAATGGAATGAAATAAGAACAAAAATAAATAAATAATAAGAAGTATGCAAAACAAAATTAAATATAATATAATAAAATAATATAAACTAATATAAAATAATATAAAAATAAACTTGAATTAATACAAAATTAAATGAAACAAAATAAAATGAAATAAAACAAAATAAAATAAAATAAAATAAAAAAATAAAATAAAATAAAATAAAATTAAATTAAATAAAAAAAATAAAATTAAATAAAATAAAATAAGATAAAATAAGCTAAAATAAAATAAAATAAAATAAAATAAAATAAAATAAAATTATTTAAAATAAAATAAAGTAAAATAATAAATTAAATTAAATTATAACAATATAAAACACAACAAAATAAAAAATGAAAAAAAGAAAGAAAAAAAATTAAACGAAATAATATAAAATAAATTAAAATAAAAAAAAATAAAATAAATAAAAATAAATAAAAATAAAAAAAAATAAAATAAAAAAGAAAATAATATTAAAAATAAATGAAATAAAAAAAGAAAACAAATTTAAATAAAATAAAAAAGCATAATAAATAAAATAAATTCATTTAAACAAAAGTTAAATATAATAAAAAACAAAAATAAAATAATAAAACAAACTGATATAAAATAGTGTAAGATTTAAAGAAAATTAAAACAAATTTAAATAAAATAAAATAAGTTAATTAAAAAAAAATAAGTAAAATAAAATAATAAGAAACAAAAATAAATTAATATAAAATAGTGTAAAATTATAAAAAAAACTAATAGAATAACAAAATAAAAAGAAATTAAATAGAAAATAAAATAAAGTTAGTTAAATAAAATAAAATAAAGCACAACCAAATAAAATAAATTAAATTAAAATAAAATAAAATAAAACAAAATAAAAAAAATTAAATAAGGCAAAACAAAAAAATTAAATTCAATTAAAACAATATATTATAAAAAAATAAAGTGGAATAAAAAAATTAAATAAAAT